TCTATAAGCTCTAACTACTCTTTTTTAGTTAGAAATACTAATATAAGTAGCTTTATAATAATAAAAATTAGCCCTCTACTTTTTATTTAATATAGTATTATAGAAGTATAAAATCTATAGGAGTTATATATAATTATTAAGTCTAATATAATTCTTTAAAGTAATACTCTAAAATATACTAAATATAATTTAACTACTAATAATAAAGTTAGTTTAAATTTATTAAAGTTAATTCTCTTTATATATCTAATAAGTAAATAAAATATATAGGGAAATTGAAATAATAATTTTAGCTTTTAGCTAGAAATAATAGGGGAACTCTATTTTAGTAATATTATTTATAATATATAGATTAATATCTACTCTATCTATCTAATATAAATCTAGAGATCTATAGTTAGAAGTATTAATAATTTTTCTCTATAGCTAAATATCTAGTTATTTAAGGCTAAAATAAGATAAGTATAAATATTTAATACTATATATTTAGAGATATATTAATATAACTCTCTATAACTATATAATATAATAAGCTTATTCTATATTTATTTTATATTATAAATTTAAAACTTCTTATTAACTTACTTTAAGTAGAATAAATTAGAAAATACTAGTACTATACTTAATAAATTATTAAAGAATTAAAATTTCTTATATAAAAAGGATAAAAATAGTATAAATATTAATACTTATAATAAAGAATATTTTATAACTAATAGTAGTATAAAAATATAAGTAATAATTTATATTAAAAATTATAATTATAATATTAGCCTTAAGTTTCTATACTACTACTATAGATAACTATAGTATTAGATATAATATAGATACTACTAGTTATTTTAATCTAGTACTAGTAGAGATAATTATCTTTATTATTACTACCCTTAATTATATACTTATTAAAGAGTAAAGCTACTATAGGAATACTTTAAAATATAAATAAGTACTTAGTAATTTATTTAGAAATTAGACCTTTAAATAAGAAAGCAATATAATTTTAAATAAATTATACCCTATTCTACTATATATTTATAGACTATCTAATAGTAATACCCTTTAATTTATTAGAACTATATAAAGTATTATATAGAACTTAGTATAATTAAAGTAAAATATATTAAAAGATTATTTTTAATTATATTTAGAAGCTACTAAAGAAATATATCTAAATAATTAAAAATAAAATTAACTAAGTATTTATAATTAATAACTATTTTATAAATAATTTAAATAACTTTATTAATATACTAGAGATATTAAATTTAGTAAATAGATTAGCTAGAACTAGTAATACTAATATATTTTATAATAATAGTAAATTAATAGATACTATAAACTTTATTATTATTAGATAAAAAAATAGAGTTACTTCTTCTATTAATAATAGCTTTAATACTATAGATAAATAAATATAAATTAAATATAAGGTCTATTATAAATAAACTTAAAATAAGAATATTAATATTATTATAATACTATCTAGAATAGAGCTAAGAGTAGCTTAAATTTAGGATTCCCTTTAAATATTAATCTAAACTTACTTAATTAAATAAAGAACTCTATATATATAGTTTTAAGAGTTTACTATATTTATTACTATTTTTACTATCTAGCTACTACTCTACTTACTTTTACTCTCTACTACTACTTTATTATTTCTTTATTTATTACTCTACTTATTTTTACTCTCTACTATTATCTTATTATCCCCTTATCTACTACTCTATTTACTTTTATTCTTTACTACTATTTTATTATCCCTCTTATTTACTACCTTACTTACTTTTACTCTCTACTACTACTTTACTATCCCTTTATTTACTACTTTATTTACTTTTACTTTTTACTACTACCTTACTATCTCTTTATCTACTACTTTATTTACTTTTACTCTCTACTACTACCTTATTATCTCTTTCTAATTACCTTCTACTCTAGTCTTTTCTTATTATACCTCTACCCTTTTTACTATATATATATTATCTATATTAGAAGTATATAGAATAGAGATAGTACTATTTATATATTTTATAAATTATATATATATATATTATTTAAAAAATATATTATATATAACTATAGAAAGTTATATAGAATATTATATATATAAATATAATATATTAAGAAGTTTATATATAAAAGATAAAAAATATATATATTAAATATATTATTTATATAGTATTATCTATAGATAAAAAGTAAATTATATAATATATAAAGTAAGAATATAGAGGGCTTCTATTATATAATAAATATTATAAGTTTTTATTTCTAGTAGCTATATATATATAATAGATATAAATAGTACTATTTATATTACCTAAATAATATAAAGAATACTATTTAAACTTATAAATCTAGATATAATAAAGTATATAATAGAAGTAAACTATATTATAAGAATTAATTATAGAAAATATATTATAAATACTTAAAGAGTAAATTATATAAAAAGAATAATATAATATAATTATACTAATAATACTATATATAAGAGATAGCTTAGATATATAAAATATACTATATTAATTTTTTAAATAAGTAGTAGAAAATAGATTTAATATATAATTTATATAATATTTACTATTAGAGTATAATATATAAGGTATATATAAAGAATTAATATTTATTTAAAATATAAATTAATTAGTAAGTAAATTTTAAGTTAGCTAGGGGCGGGGATTATAAATTATATAGTGTAACTACTTATTTATCTCTAAGCTAGCCCTAAGCTATTTATATTTTTGCCAATATAGTAAGTGCTTAGTAATATAAGTAAATCTTATATTTAAGAGAATTTATTACTTATTCTTTTTTAGCCTAAACAAGGTTTTTAGTAGAGCCTATATAGATAAGTAGATAAAGTCTATATTATATTTAGCCTATCTACTATCTATATAGGTTTACTCGCGCCTATAATGAGTAAACTTCTAACCCCTTAGGTTTGACCCAATTTATCTATCCTTATATCTAGTAATAAGTAGCTAGTTATTAAGAATAATATTCTATAATATAAAAATAAGTTATTATATTAAGCCTTAATATTTAGGAGGTAGAGAAATAAAAAAGAGAAGATATTAAACCTCTATAATAAAAAGAAGCTAGATTAAGCTTAATTTTTCTCTCCTTTAAGGGTTATAGATACTAGAAAATAGATAGAGAATATATAATAGAAAAAGGAGGCTCAACTTACTTAAATAGAGTAAGCTAAGCTATAAAAGGCTATCTAGAAAGATATATAACTATAGGAGGCTATAAAATAAAAGACTTAAAGGCTTATAGAGTAGTAGTAGAAGAAGAAAGAGAAGGAGTAAACTAAAGCTATAGCTAAAGTCTAGCATAAATAAGAATAATAATATAAAATAGAAGAGAGAGAGGTATAGAGATTTATAAAGGAGGCTTAAAAGGCTTAGAATATTACTAAAGCTCCTTCTTTACCTAATAAATTAAATAAGAAGAAGTAGCTTATAAAGGAGCCTACTTCTACTTCTTCTACTCTTTCTATTTCTAATTACTTATCCCTATCGAAGCTAAGCCAAAGTAGTTATACTATTAAGCCTAATACTTATTTATTTTCTTAACTATATTAATTTATATATAATTTAAATCCTAGCTATTATTTAATATATTTATTTAATTTATTTAACTAGGTAGTTATTAAGATATTCGATCGAATAAGAGCAGTATAGAGATTTGGCGCTGTTTTTGATAGGTGGTCATCGAATGAAGATGGTCATCGAATGGTGGATCACGTTACTTCATTGACACCACGATAATATCCTCCTTATCGGCGATGTACTGACCCTGGTAAAAGGGGTTGTTTGTGCTACCGAGCGAAAAGCCTAGAACATCGCGAGATCCGTTAACCCGATTGATAACTATCAGGGAACGTATAAAAATAGACCTACGTCCTCCATGAATCCAAAGTAACACGGGTTTCTTCTTCCGTGATGTATCCTTCGCCCAAACGTTCAACTCCAGGCAATCCTCACTCTGGGACATCACATTTTGACTAGCAAAATTGGCGATGATGATCTGCTGGAGGGCTGTTCCATTTGGGTAATGAACTGATTTGCTCGGACTCTGTAGGCAATCGCTTTAGATTCACACGTAGGTCTTAGCCAACAACCGGCTTCTTAACAGTCATTGGCAGCTTTATCGGGACATACAGAGACTAGTTAAAAGACAATATCCTGGTTAATGTTGGACCACGAAAATGAAGACACCTGATCACATTATAATGTTCCGGGAAAAATGGACAGGTGACTCACAAAATTCGCGGTTCGAAGGGTGTATCAGATATGAATTTAACGGGTGGTGCAAATCTAAGATTCCCAACCGGAACGTTCGCATATGGAATTCCTAGGTATTCAACGACGGATGGCCGAGAAGTCGATGCATGTCCTATTACGAGTCCGCTAGTCGTGTTAACGGTAGAACCTATCACCGGAATAGGCACAAATAGGAGAGAAATTAGCAACTGAGTAATTGCAAGCATGTATTCAATGCTCATCCTTTTCTTTCGTCAAAGTTGGCGATCATTTTTCTCCGATCCAACAATTGTGAGACCATCTGGGAGAGAGAAGTCAATTTACGGGCAGTATTATGCGAAACATGGTTGATGGCAACCTCATATGCAAGCATCTGCAGCAATAATCGTCATGCATCGCTTGGCATTTCCTCGTCCAAGGGTTCCATTTCTATCAATTTGACAGGCTGGTTAGGTCGCATTATTGACAACAGTTGTGGAACCAGGTGTATAGGCCCGTCTACTATGAGGACTATACAGTTCTCTCCGTCGCCTGTTAGTCAGTCAAAACACTTTAGTCATTTACTCCCTTTCGAGTACATGAATGATGATTTGTAAAATTCAGCCCCCTGGTCTTAAGGAGCTCGCTGTAGTGTTTGGATCTATTCATGGATAGAGAGCGGGCAGTTGACTTGAGCGCTCCGGAATGTTAAGTCATAGGAGAATGCGGGGAAGTCTTCAACTGGGGCTGCAACCTGGGATCTCAGCCTTCACTTTTGTCATACAACCGAAGGTCAGGAGAAAATATTCAAACAGAGGAGGGTTACCCCTGTCGAGGACCCTGGCTGATAGTTACTATCAGTGATATGCGGGTATGGACATGCATAATCTACACGGCAGTCAAATTAAATACTACTCCGGGATCACAGTTGAAGCTATATCGATGCCCCAGAAAACCCAACTGTTTGCTGGCTGTTGAGCCAATTGACTGTGGTATCCAACCTCTATTACTTGATAGAAATGAGTTGGCTGGATGCACATTTCTCCATCTCACAAATGAATCCGGGATAGTGGTAGCTGATCCCAATCTAGAGCCAAGTATACGACGCTGAGCTACACCACAATTAAGGAGATCAATGTTAATATCATATATTACTGAATAGCCTGACTTTGCCATCTGTTGTCGTTCCCCGCTCTAGCTAAGATTCTGTGACTCCACAAATGGCTATGCTTGTTTCTAGTCTTCTGATCGCCCACAGGGGTCGAGTTTGGCCTGTTCGTTATATAAACAAGTTTTCCGGGGCAGGGTTGTAGAGTAAGTCCATGTTTGACTTGTTGCTCTCAGGATACACAAGATTTAGTGCAGGAATCGTTGGATCTGGTAGACAGGCGTCTCCGTACAAGCTTTGGTATCCACGCATCCCGACCACACCAGGCCAAACAGATACGTAATCTCGCAGGCAGGGTACAGGGAATACAGAAAAATCTATACGTACATATCTTTTCTGATACCTTATCCAGACGGGCGGGGATGTTCTCCCTATGGGGTCGAGCACCAGGTATTCTGGCTGCACGAGAAAAAGGCAGACGCTGACGGCAGGATGAATGCCAAAAACATGGGTATGTAGCAATGCTATCCTTGAATTCCTCTCAGTTGATGTTCGGGTGGAAGGATATGCCCAGGAAGTCTCCAAGGGGAGTTGCATGACCATGAGTGAAGGTTGGATTAAACTATTATTTTAAGCCCCATGAGCTTAAATCTGCTGCATCCAAGATATTCTGACTACTAGCTCAACAGCCGCCCCATAACAAACAGATAACAAACAACAACTGGGTGTCTATATGTAACAGGGAACGAAATATAGGTCCCTCGTCGCACAAAGAGCTCTACAGAGGTGGTCATCTCCATGTCAAAAATGCTCAGTTCTATTCCTTCTGTCCATCGTTATTCGCCATCGAGAGACACCCTCGCTAGCACATGCAAGGCTCTGATCGCGTTCAATGTGCTGGCCAGAATTTCTTTTTCCTTTGGCAACCGTCTCGGAATGCCGCCCAACAGAGGCGTTTTGGGCCTAAAATATTCCAAACCACCGCTGCGTTGATCATTTTTTGGAATTTGGCTATCGCACGCGGGAATCAAATCGCGACGGGCTTCATCGCCCTGGAGCTACCAATCCAGCAGATAGCTCGGCTACAACTTCGAAAAGAGGACAAGCTCGCGTCGGTAACTCGTCTCTGGGCTTGGCGGCTTGTGGGCGTTTTTTTTCTTCTTCCCCCCTGGCTTCATGTTTAAAGCCCTGCGAACAAGTTAGTCCGTTCAGTTGGTACTCGGGCTTGAAACCTCAGTATCACAAACACCATCTGGGAAACCAATCATCGCCGCGTCATCTTCATCGACAAGACGCCACTTGGGAGTGCTCTGACCCCCTTTTTCTTAGAGACCTCTTTCAATTTTAAAACATAGCTCGGAATGACGCCGGCTCGAATTTAGAGGTGGTAAGATATACACTTAGTTAGCTAACGCTGATCGTGGGAAAAAGGGAGCCAGTCCCATAAGCTACCAGCCACAATATGGAGTGTTGTGACACCATAGAACGTGACACCAGCATCATCTGTATTTATCTGCAAACCGATGATCGGCCAGCCACTCTCTGTCCTGTTCTCCTCGAGGATTCATGGCAATTGGCACGGGGGAGTTCTCATGGCTCCAATTTCCACCAAGGCACGCGGCAGAAGCACTGCCTGCCCACGATATTCCTGCGAACCCCCACTTGTCACAAGCGCCAGTGTGCCATGGGGCCAGCAAAGGAGCAATTCTTTCCGAGGAGATGACAGTACTTTTTTTTTCTTTACTATTAACACGGTGCCCAACAGCCTACGGCCCGAACCTTGACGGCCGCTTTCTCTTCCTTCTGCCCGCTTGGAATCTGAGGTTGCTGTGGGTTCCAGATATAAGGGCTTGTCTTGGCCGGGAGCTCTCTGAAGGGAGGTTGGTGTCTGACAGCCAACGAATCTCCACGTGTGTGTAGCTCTATTTTTAAGGACCAGGATCTCTTCATCTGGTTTACCCGCTGTGTCGGAGTTTATTTTTTGCTTCTTCCCCTTGCCATGGTCAAGCGGCGTTATGGGCTGGCTCGAGGATGCAGGGTTTCACGTTTTTTTTCTGGCAAGACACGCGGGTCCGGGGGTGAATTCAAGAGCTCTCCTATTGGTTGCAGCAAGCTAATCGACGAGGAGGAGCCAACAAATTACTTCATCGGGATATAAAAGAGGTTTCTTCCCTTCTGGCTTTTCTTTTAATATACGGGGAAGCATGTACCAGCCAGAGAAAGCAATGTTACACGCGGACGATGCTTCCGGTGCCGAAGCCTGCACGTCACGCTGGAAAGGCAAGGGAGAAACATGGCAGAAGGGAGAACTGCCAGCCTTCCCTTCTGCTCCCTGACTGGGCCAACGAAAAAGTCTCGGAGAGTTCACTAATTAGCTGGCTGCATACTTACTTACTATACCTACTACTATCATTTGCCAGGGACGGAGATGGCCGGCCACAGTTACATGGCACCGGCGTACAGGAGGTGGTGGAGGGACTCTGGCCCTGACCCCTAGTTGAGCGGTGTGTCTTACCGATAGTCGTCGAGATATCGATCTATTTCGCAGCCCGCCGTCTATCAAAATCGACCCCTGGAAAGCTTTTTCTATAACGTCAACATTAATAGATGAAACCATGGCAAGAAGCTTCTTTTGCCCCCCCCCCCGCTATCGCCACACCGCGGGCTGCTATTTCCACCGCGCCCCACCCTGCCGAAAGTCACCCAGAATAACACTTTCGCTGGGCTACCTTTTCACACTAGCTACTGCCACCGCCCGCGGCCGTTGTACCCACGCCAAGCGACTTTTCCAACTTCTTCATCTTCGACCTTTTTTTTTTTTTTCATCTTCTCTGCGAGCAGCTTCAGATCTTGGGATCAAGGGTTGGCTTTCTTTTTCCTTTTCTTTTCTTCTGTCTATGTGGTCATCACTATCCTTTACCTCAGGGCTCTCGTATATCTAGCTCTTTTCTTCTATCCGGAGCATCCTTTGTTTTTTAGCCCTTTACCCTCGAGCGACCCCCCCAGCATGCATATCCCAATCTCATCCAGCTCGCGCCTTTCAGCAGTCCTCTCCGCCGCGGAAACGCTTCTCCAATCAGACTTATAGGTTAAGGCGAAGGAAGAAAAAACAGAGAGACTGACCTCTGCCTCTTGCTCGCCCTCCTGCCCTGTCCCGTTCGCATGCTGTGATATAAAAAGGGCTGTGTCGGGACTTGGGACTACCCTGCTCTTCCCGGGACCTCGATACACTACACCCCCTCTCACCCTCCCCCCTTATCGAAACATCGACATTCAAAACATTTATCGACTTGATACATTTCCCCATGAGCGCACGAGCTCTGGCTTGAGTGGCCTTTTTCCGTCGAATTCGCCTGTCTGAAATTGATGCCGGCGGCACATTGATATATACAGCATAACTTATTGGCCTTTTTTTTATCTTTATATTTGGTGAAATAGCTATCTATACTTCTATATATATACCCCAAAACAGCTTAGATTTGAGAATGGACACAGTCAAGGCAGCTATTGAACGGTGGAAGCCGAGTCTGGAGATGCGTGAGAAGCTATGGGCTATCAAGAGAAAGACGCCAGTCCTCAAGGACCTCCATTACAACTTCATCTGTCTGCATTATGCCTGGATCATCGGTGTGACGCTGGTGGGATCTATCATCCTATACCCGGGGGGAAACATGTCCTACATTGATGCGCTCTTTTTTGCCTCAGGCTCGGCAACACAGAGCGGGCTGAACACTATTGACGTGAACAAGCTGTACACGTATCAGCAGGTGTGGCTGTGGATGGGGTCTATGATAGCCAACCCAATTGTCATCCACTCGGCGGTTGTCTTTGTGCGACTGTACTGGTTTGAGCAGCGGTTCCAGCACGTTGTCCGGGAAGCGAAGGCGCTGAGAAGATCACGGTCCCGTTCGAGAGCTACGACGAGAGAGCCAGACGATGCCAATGACCTGCACCGAGCCGAAGCTGGAGTGCGCGGGCGTGACATTGTAGTGCTTCGCAACACCGACGGCCATGCACAGGGACGATTCCTGGATGCTCCCAAGAAGGAGCCGGAGACGACTTCGGAGAGTGACTCGTCCATCCAGCCTGCAGAAGGACAAGGTGAGACAGCGATCAAGGGAAACGGACAGTCGACTAGCAGTACTTCCTCCAAGACGAACGAGACGCTGCTTGCACCGTCGTATTTCCCTGGTGACGCCAGGATACAGTGGTCTGTACCGCCGTCCGACAACGAGCGACACATCACGTTCCTGGAGCACCAGAGACGACAGACCGGTGCGCTGCGCATACCCAGTCCACGAGAGTACGACCGAGGTGGTATGCCCGAGGCGCTGGACGAGACGGATGGGGCAGACCTTGCTCGTAATGCAACGGTTCAATCAGACCCTCCGGCCGAACCGACTGGAACGTCTCTGCCTACTTCCCCTGGCCCGATCAACCAACACATCACCATCGACGAGCCCAACATTACTCGTACGCGCAAAGCCACGCAATCGAGAGGCGGCGAGCGAGATCGAGACCGCGATGGGGACGAAACGTCGACGATCCGACGAGTAACGTCCCGTCGGTCCATGGTGCCCAGCTTCATGCGGTCTCGCACGCTGGAGCAGCTGCAGCAGGACGCTCCCTACCTGAGCTGGGAGCCGACGATAGGACGCAACTCTGCGTTCGTGGACCTGTCTGAGACGCAGCGAGAAGAGCTGGGTGGGATCGAGTACCGGGCTCTCAAGACACTGGCGATCGTGCTGATTGGGTACTTCTTCTTCTTCCACCTGCTGGGAATCGTATGCTTGATACCCTGGATCCTGAACACGCGCTGGGGAGAAATCGTGCGTGCTGCTGGCCAGGGCCGGCCATGGTGGGCGGTGTTTTCAGCGGGTTCGGCGTTCAACGACCAGGGCTTCACTGTGACGCCGGACTCGATGCTGTCGTTCTACGATGCGGTTTTCCCGATGCTGCTGATGACGTTTTTGATCCTGATAGGCAATACGGGGTTCCCATGCATGCTTCGATTTGTGATTTGGTTTTTTAGCATGATTGTTCCCAAGGGCAGCGGGGTGTGGGAGGAGCTGAAGTTTCTGCTGGACCATCCGCGACGATGCTTTACGCTGCTGTTCCCTAGTTCAGCGAACTGGTGGCTGTTCTGGGTGCTGGTGCTGCTCAACGGCGTCGACCTGATCTTCTTCGTCGTCCTCGACGTAAGTTTTACTTCTACTTCTACGACTTCTACGACTTCTACTGCTCAGTCTAATATATATATATATATATATATATGTATAGTTGAATGACCCCGACGTGACTCGCATCCCCGGCGGAATCCGGTTCGTGGACGGGCTGTTCCAAGCGGCAGCCACTCGCACGGCCGGTCTATCGGTAATTGGGCTTACTACGCTTCACCCGGCGATCCAGGTGTCGTACATGATAATGATGTACATCTCCGTCTTCCCGATCGCCATCTCGGTCCGCCGCACCAACGTGTACGAAGAGCGCAGTCTGGGCATCTACTCCAACCCCGACGAGTACAGCGAGGACGAGAAAGAGCCCAGCTTCGTGGGCGCCCACTTGCAGCGCCAGCTCAGCTTCGACATCTGGTACATCTTCCTGGGCCTGTTTGTGATCAGTATCATCGAGGGCACTCGACTGGACAACCCCAAGGACCTGGGCTTCTCGCTGTTTGCAGTGCTGTTTGAGGTGGTGTCTGCGTACGGCACGGTGGGCCTGTCGCTGGGCTATCCAGACACCAACGCGAGCTTTTCAGCGCAGTTCCACACGCTCTCGAAGCTGGTGATTATTGCGATGGAGATTCGAGGACGACACCGTGGACTGCCGTATGCGCTTGACCGGGCCGTGCTGCTACCGTCTGAATCGCTGCACCGGAAAGAGGATGACGATGCATCGAAGCGGCTGAGACGGAGGAGTTCGAATGTGAGTGCCTTGTCCTCTGCGACGGGCCAGGCTTCGGGACTGTTCAGGGACGATGGCGGCCTCATGGCGAGACTTCAGCAGCAGCAGCCATCATCTTCTGGCGGAGGGGCAGTAGGAAGTTCCTCTGATGCGCCGCCGCCCCCTACGGCCTCTTCAGCCCGAGGAGCAAAACGCCTGTCTACCCACCAGGAGGCCGCTTAACCTGAGTATAAAATTTTTTTTTCACCCTTCTGGATCATGTTTAGCGCAAGGTGTTTGGTCGGCAGATTACAGTTAAATTAAACAGCTTAGTTTTAATTACGAGTCGTGCTCTAAAGACTGGGACCCTGGACCCTGGGAGCAGCCTCCAGGCGACTGTCGTCACTTCATTCGCCTGGCCGGCCCCGAAACCTGTTTGCCCAGTCCACTCTTTCTCCAGTTCCTGACATCATAGCCTCGGAAGGCAGGTGAACTTGGTAAACAGTCTTGTGGCCGTGTAGATGTAGATAAACAAACAGACAGACAGACAGACAGACAGACATACTGGCAGACATGACATGACATGACATCTCGCTCTCCATCTCCCGACTCTACGAACAATGGTATGCCCCTATTTCTATATATACAAGTTTCTATACATACAAGTAAATATCTGACTATGTAGAAACTCCCACCCTCCTTTACCAGCGAGACCCCCCTGCAGGCCCGGGAATACATCACCACCGCCCCCGTGAGCCCGCAATGCAACTGTCTCAGCAACGGCGCAGTCGCAGGCATCGTGCTCGGCAGCGTCGCGGGCGTGGTTCTCCTGTTCTGGCTGCTGCGCTGCGCCATGGTGTCGACGCGAGTGTCTCCGCGAGAGCCGACGATGACAACGACGACGACGTACCATCACCGTCCGAGCCGCAGCTACAGCCACAGCCACAGCGACAGCTATCGTAGCAGCGGAGGCAGTCGGAGCCGCAGCCGCAGGGGGTCGTCGTACTATGGCGGCGGGCGGTACCTCGAGCGGCCGTCGAAGGTGTATGTCGGCTGAACGCTGCGGGTTACGGCTACGAGATGCGACGACGATCTCTTCTTACCGGTTTATGTTGATATCTGCATGGTTAATGTACTGTTACGTCTTTTCTGTCTTCTCTATTGCTGTCTTACTATCTGTTTACTCCTTTTTTACTTTAAATATCAGATCTTGATGCCAAGACTTGAGCCAGATTAACTTTTACGAAGAAGAAGAAGAAGAAGTTGATATCAAATATCAGAGTCGATGATGAAGTAGATGAAGTAGATGAAGTAGATGAGAAGAGTAGAGAATAGAAGGAGAATAGAAGTGCTGAGAAGAGTAAGAGAGTAAGAAAAAGAGAGAGATCTTCCTGGCCTGCCCAACGGCCTCCTGCCTCGCTGCCTGACTCTTCCTTACTCTTTACTCCTTACTCCTTACTCTCTATCAATTACTTACTGCTTACTCCTTACTGTCTCTCTACTATTACTATCTTACTTACTCTCTTCCTCTTCTTCTCTTTACTGTCTACTCGCTGTCTACTCGCTGTCTACTCGCTGCTTCGACGCCTCACCGACGCCCCTGACAGCAAACACTCGCACACAAACAACTCACAGCAGCGGCTTCTTTGCTTTTTCTCTACCTCGAAAAAAAAGTCAATTGACCAGAAGAAGAGCTGACAGTAAGAGATATTAAGAGATATTAAAAGAGAGAGAGAAGAGGATGCCATGAATACGACTTGAGGCTGCTCACTTTGCTTCTTCTCTGCTTTTACCCCTGGATCTGTCCTGTCCTTCTGTCCTGTCACTCCTTAAAGGCACTAACAAAGTACCTCCTGTTTACCATCCTGGCCTCTGCACATGCACTCTCCATCTCTCTCTCTCTCTCTCTCTCTCTCTCTCTCTACTCTGGTCTACTCTTACTGTCTCTACTATCCTCTCCTACTGTTACCATGAGATACACTAGACAGCAGTGAAAAAGAGTCCAGAGTCAGTGAAAATGGCCTCTGCAGACGTGCCTCCTCTCTATGCGCCACAGAAGCTCGCGCGCTATCGATCTGTCCAGGCCTCGCATCCTTCTTCTCATCCTGTCTCTAATAATGCTAGCGCTGCTGCTTCAACTGCCCGGAATGCCTCCATCAGCCGCAGCATGTCGCGGTACCGCAAGACCGCCCACGGCGTCCCTCCGCCGCCGCTGCCTCTGCCCGCCCAGCTCGACTCCCAGCGGCCCAGCTACGACCTCGCCCCATACGACCACCACCACTACAACGAGGACGACGATGACCGGCAGCAGGATGTCGTCTCCGGGCCTGCGAGTCGCAGAGTCTCGATGCAAAACACCGCCAGGCCGCTGACGGGCGCCGCCGCTGCGGGTGCGGCAGCAAGACGCTCTCTCGACCGCAACTCGGCCAAGCGCCACTCCTCGTACTCCCAGCAGCAATACTTTGACGGCAGAGATAGCTATGATCGGCCGTCTCGTTCGTCAGGACCGTATTTTGTGGTCGAGCCTGGTATGGGGCCCAACACCTTCGACCAGAGCTATGAGATGACGCCTGCGGCTGCTCCCACGACGACGACGACGACGACGACGAACAACAAGAAAAGCAAAGGAAGGCTGCTCAAGGAGAAAGGAGGTGGCTTGCTCGGCAGACTCAAGGGCGAGGAGCGTCTCAAGAAAAAGGACAAGATGGCTGCTGTCGACGGCTATAACACCGCCAGTAATGCTACCAGCAACATCACCAGATCCGGGGCTGGAGTCGACGCCCCCGTCTCGGCTGTCAACGCTGGCGAGAGGAGAGTGACCGTCACCTGCAACGAGGCCTCCGTCAGCCTGCCCGTCACCCCGTCCACCCAGGCCCAGGACCTCATCTGCTCCGCCGCCAACTGTCTGGCCGAAGACATCGTCCCCGAGGCCGCCATCATCGTCGAGTCCTTTGCCCAGCTCAACCTCGAGCGTCCCCTGCGCAGGTACGAGCATGTCCGCGACGTCCTCAACTCCTGGAACTCAGACTCCCAGAACACCCTCAAGATCATACCCGATCCCGATCCCAACATCATTCCGGCTCTGCTCGCCAAGTCCGCTCCCCGAAGACAGCCTCCCGACGTCTCCTTCAGCCTCTACCACTGCCAGCGGACGGGCAAATGGGACAGACGATGGGTCACCCTCCGCATGGACGGGCAGGTCACCGTCTCCAAGAAACAAGGAAGCTCCGACTGCACCAACATCTGCCATATCTCTGATTTCGACATCTACACCCCGACCCGCAGGGAGTACAAGCGGCTCAAGCCCCCCAAGCCGCTCTGTTTCGCCATCAAGAGCCAGCAGAAGTCCGCCATGTTCCTCTCCACCGAGAACTTTGTCCATTACTTCTGCACAAAGCATGAGGATGTCGGCGGTGCATGGCACAATGCCGTCCAGGAGTGGAGGAGCTGGTACCTCGTCCATGTCATGGGCGAGGGAGCCAGAAAGAAGAAGCAGCAGGATGCTCCTGAACCCGTCGATGATAATACCCCGTACCAACTAGGATCTTTTCAATCCCTGTCTATTGATCCTAACATTGAAGAAGCCTACAACAAGCTAACTGGTAAACGGTCTCGACCTACCTCCTTCAGCCATCAGACGGGCAATGTTGCTGCTGCTGCTGCTGCTGCTGCTCCCCTTGTTAACCAGGCAGTCAACAAGGAGCCCATCAAACCCAAACGGACCAAAAGTAAATCCAAGAAGAAAACAACAGCTGCAGCAGCAGCAGATGACAGTCTCAGCGAGGAACAGCCCTTTGCTCCTACAGGCCTGCTGGGACGCACTTACACCCAACGACACAAGGCCATGCTCGACCGCGAAAAGGAGCAGCACGCCCAGCCCGATGAAGGGCCATTCATCTCTACCGGCCTGCTCTCCAACATGCATCACCACCAGGGTCCAGCATCTCCCGTCTCAAACCACCTCCCGGACCAGCAGTACCATCAACACCAACAGCAACACCCACACTACCACCCCAGCCGCTCCAACACCACTGCTGCTGACCCCAGACCAACAACAACCTCCTCCCGCTCCAAATCAACCCGTCACCCGCCCAAGCCCCTGATCGATCTCACCCCGACATACAAGGAGCCGCCCCAGCACGCTCGCAAGGGCCGCGGCGTGACTCCCATCCAGGGCCTACCACTCGTCGAATCCGCCACGGGTCCCGACTTGCATCCCAACGCCATCGTCGTGCCTCCTTCAACCACCTGGCGCAAACCACGCACTTCCGATCCGAATCCCGGGCCCCCCAACCCCAACACCTCGCGTCACCGCTCAAGACAGAATACTGCTGGTGCTGCTGGTGCTCCGCTAGTTGATCTCAATGCTATTGACCCCGTAGACCAGGGTCATGGCCACATCCACATGGCGATGCCTGGCTCGTTCCCCTTTGCGCCTACGGGCCTGGTAGCCCAGAGCCAGAAGCTGGCTGCCTCGCAGGGTGCGGCGAGAGGAGGACGCGGTGTCGCGACGGGTGATAAGAAGAAGGGTAAGCCGTTGCTGGACATGAGCCATGTTCCCTTGCCGGCGCACTATCAGCATCCCCAGGCTGATTCCGACTGACTGAAACCGACTAATCAGATTACTATTGATGAATGATGGATTATTGAATTGAATTAAATACAGCTAAAGAGATGGGAGGCGATTTTCTTTTTTTTGTTCCTTATTCTTTTGTGAATTATTTCGGACGCGGGAAATGTACATGTATTGATGTCTGTATGTATTTACGAGCAACGAACAATTATGCCAGTCAATTTAATCACCATCACCACTACCACACAACTTTACTACAAACATCATCTAAAAGTCCTTCTCTTCCCTACATGCTCCCTCCAGGGGACATCAAGCAGTGAAAAGAGCCGCCTCGCGACCTCCGACGTTGTTACTGACCAGCTAGTCCATCGACCATCTCGCAGCCGCAAGACAGGAGACACAGCGGCCAGCCATCGTCAACGCAACAGCACTATCTGTTGCAGTAAGAGCTAAGTTCTTCAAAAATTCCCAGCCGATCCGAAGACCAACTAGAGCGGTCATTGGTTTGTAGTTTTCAACTAGCAAAAACGTTGCCTCAGGCGAACCTTCACTGGAAACGTAAAACCCTTGCACTCGGATGGGAGGGAAAAGGAGAAGAAGAAGAAGTTGGAAGAAAAGGAGGGCGGTCGGCGGGTTTTATAGACGACGGGAAGGATGAGTCAGCAAGCGAGGTTTGGATGATGAGTCATGCTGATTAGATGATTACTAAGGACTTACTAAGATAGATAAGATAAGATGGTTACAGATATCTAATGGATATAGGAAGGATGTAGGAAGCAGATGGAGGAAAGACGGAAGAGTAGACATTATGATAGTAAGTAGTAGAAGTAGAAGAGTTACCGCCATAGGTCTCGCTTCTCTCGACGGCCCCCCGACGACCGCGTGCTCGTGCTCGGCCGCCGCTCCTCCTCCGCCGGCACCGCCAGAAACCCCCCAAAGCCATTGCCGACCAGCACGCTCCTCCTTGCCTCGCCGCCCCATGCCGGGCTCAGCTGGGCCCCATGCAGGCTCACCGGCCGCGTCGTGCTCATGCGTCTGCCCGCCTCTGCAAATGGCTGGTACGTCGTAAAGTTCCACTCCAGCTCGTCCATCCCCTTGCTGTATACAGACAGCGCCTGGTTCAGTCCCACGTTGGCCTGCGACTGCCGGCTCGGGTCCCCAAACACGGGCGGCGGCGGCGCCAGCATCAGCGTCTCGGGGAAATTGGCGTCTCGCACATACAGGTCTGTCAGGTTGGGCAGCGAGCCCGTCAGGAGCGAGGACATCAGGTACGTATAGTACGATGTCGAGAGGGCCTGGGCGCCGAACGAGCTCGAGCCAGACTCAGAGGTGATTTCGTAGTGTAGCAGACGCAGCGAGTTCGAGGTCAGCGGCGGAACGTAGTCGGGCGGGAACTCGTGTGTGACTTCTTGCTGCATCGAGAGGCTGGACAGCAGCGGTGCCTGCGCCAGAACCTCGTGCAGTCGCTGCGGTTCCACGCCCGTGTTGACCATCGACAAGTGTCGCAGAGCGCTGCGTGTCTGCGAGCTGCTGTTCAGATACCATGTCAGTCCGCGGCTGGTGATCTTCGGTGTGTCGGTGAGAGTGAGGCGTTGCAGCGCTGGGAAGGGCGGTAGCGTAGGCACCGCCTTGAACACCGTGTCTTCCAGCCATGGCATGTCATCGAATCGCAGATCGGTCAGACGCTCAATGTACCCCAGTATCATACGCAGCAGGTTGTTCTCGATGTTCAGTGCCGAAAGCTCCAGTACTTCCAGGTTCGGCCATCCTTTAACCTTGGGCAGGCGTGAGAAACTGCTCTCCGCCCCCTTGGCAAATTTCATTCGCCTGATATCCGGGCACCGGGCCAGTAGCTCTTGTTTCAGGGTCAGAGAGGAGGCGTCGTCGCTGAAGAACCCGGCCGGCAGGTCGACGTAGCGGAGGTTGGGCAGCACTGATATCGTCCGTGCCAGTTCGCTCTTGCTGGCTTCACGGGTCATGTATGGCATTCGCAGCGACTTCACCATCGATCCGAGAGCCCGCGAGTCGCGCACCGTCCGCATGAACAGTAGTAGTCGTGTCCGCGGCGCATCCAGCGGCTCGGCATTGTGGTTGAGGAACGAGTTCTTCTTGCGTTTAGCCGCCAGCTCGATCTCCAGTTCGCAGTAGTGCACCGCATCAATGCGAATATGCTGGTATCTAGTCCATTTCTGCTTGTTAGTTCCTAAAACTTTTTTTTTTTTTTTTTTTTTTTTTAATTTAAAGACAGACACGTCTTCCCATGCTAGATGAACGTACAGTATGTTCTGCGCTATGCCGTACCAGTGCGTGCAGACCAGTGCTGCATGCGCCAGGTCACGCATATCACATAGCATGCACCCATCCTCCGTCATAGACTCTTCCGACGATGTCAGCGATGTATCCCGTGCATGCGGACATACTTGGTAGAAGATATTCGACAGCACATTCGGCGGCAGTGTCTTCGTGTAGTCTCGTGCCGGCCGTCGACCAAAACTCCCTCCTGGCTGCTGCTGATACTGCGCATATGGCTGATACTGGTCCTGATCCTGCTCTCCATAAAGATCCCGTTTCCCCCCGCGACTCCTCGTCTTTGCCCGTAGCCGTTTGAAAAACCCCATCCTATCCCTAAATTGTTCACTCGTCTACTGCGCCCGATTCGTGCGTTCGTCAACTTCGTTTCGTCGGCCGTTTCGCTATCTCGTTGCTCGCGCCTACTAAGCGCCCACCGCTCTGCCTGTTTCTCGCAATTCCAGCTGCGACAGGATACAAAGCGACAGAGCGTCACGGGTTGATTTGAGCGATAGTTCAAACAACAAAAAAACCCAAAAATTAAAAACTTGAAAAGAAAAAAAGGTCAACTCGATTAAGTGAAAGTAGTCGAGGTCAACTCGTCAACTAACAGTGCGAGGGGGGATAATGGGGCGTGGGGAAGGATATAATTAAACTGCGCAGGGGAGAATCCTAAAACAAGGCGGGCCGCTAGCGCTGAGGGAGATAAAAAGGTCGAGTTGGTTGGCAGTTCCCGTATTCAATAACCTCCAGGAACAATGTAGACACTGGTTGTGAAATCCGCCCTTTTTTCCACCCGTTGTCTTCGTGAAGGAAGGACAGTGAAAGAGGACGCGGGAATGAGGGTTAGAAGGAGGACAGAGAAACTGGCTGGTGATAAGTAGGGTATGACGAAGCCAAAAGTCACGGCTTAAATGAAAGCTTTAAGCGCCAGTCAAAACTGACCAACGCATTCAATTGGATCGCCAAACCCTTGTCTTTATCCAGCGGAGGTTTTTTTTCTTTCCTTTTTGCTTCGTTGAAGAAACGCAACTGGTTGGATCTATTTTTGATCCTCTTCCGTCATTCGCTCCCCTTGTTGGCTTGTTCGCTGCTTGGTGCAGGGAAGGCGATACATATGTAAATTTAGCAAGTCAGAAACCCCGTACGCTGGTTGGTGTCTGAGAGGCAACGGGAAAAGTCGTTGCGTTGGTTTGATGTTTGATGTTTGATACGCCGTGGAGCCCCTGCCCCTGAATTCGGGTTCTTGCGTTCTCACAGGCTAGAGGTCAGCCCAGCCTAGCAAACCTGGTATATTATTATTTATCGGCACCGATCAGATTCGTTTCCTCGTCGGTCGAATGGAATCATGAAGGCAGGGCGGGTGTCAGGATGAGAGGTATTGTTCGCTGACAGACTGGCTGGCGATGAGCAAACCAGTTTGCTTAACTCGTTCAGTTGCTAATATTAAACCTGGCCGAGGCTGGGGGCCAAATCACAGGTACTCGGGTACTCCGTATGTACAGGACGGGTGCAGAGCAGTATGCGGATCATGTATAAGCCGACCCAGTTTTCCACAGCGGGTACCTTAACCAGGTCTGCTGCTTGCTGGATGGCTTACTGAGCTCATTAACTGTCTCCAGATAAGAA